AGTTTTCAGCATCTGCGTGATATTGCTTGGGGTGTGAGTGTGTTAAAACACAGTTTGCATGTTCCATGTGTAGGTGGGACCAGCCCCTGTTACAGCGCCAGCATCTGCAGCGTAGGCAGGCCCTTATAGTTCAGGGGCCTGATTTTTCAGAGGTGCTGAACAGCCCCCACACCCTCATTAACATCAGTGGATGTTGCAGGTTTTCAGCACCACTAAGGGAGGGAAGGGGGAATTCAGGCACTGGTATCTCAAGGAGCCTCCCTTCCCCTTTTTGGCTTGTATAGCTCAGTGGTAACTCAGTGACTGAGACTTCCATCAGCACCATCAGAAGCCTCTTCTGTTGCAACACAAGTGTTTGCTTGGAGCTGCAGGAGGGTCTGTTTCAGACAGGCCAGTCTGGCCGGGAGGGGTCCCTCAGCTGTCTTTCCCAATTCCGCACATTCTGGACCTTGCTGTCTGCAGAGGAGCCGCCTAATGTTTGCTCAAGCGCACAATGGGGTTGTGCTTATCAAGGCAAGGACCAAGCCGCTACCATCCCTTTATCAGCCTGAATGTGAATTGCTTGCGTGAGCCTTGAGTGCAAAGTGGTCGATAACCTGGTTGTGGAAACAGGCTCTGCTCACATTTGCTGTTGGTGCTGTCAGCCTCATGTGCTACATTCCTATGCAAATACAAATCTGGAAGCTCATCAGACTGGAAATCTGCTTCATCCCCCTCCTGCCAGTAACCTTTGAAGTCCAGCCTCCCTGGGCCAACTGGCAAGGACTGATTGATCAATAGGAACTAGGAAACTTGGCAGACTGGACACTAACGGCTCTTTGAAGAGACAGCTACTAGTGTTAATAGTTTGGGTGGGAGGAGGAAACACTAGAGAGAATGGAGCAAAATCCAGTGTCCCAGCCCAGGTCCCCAATGAGGGCAGCACTAGCTGCCGTCAGGTCTGTGGGGCCCTTGACCGCAACACACCGGCCTAGTCAGGGGCTAGCAGGGCTCCAGGCCACAACCTGCTGCCCAGCTGACATCCATCTCCTCCGCCGGCTCTAGACCGGCCCTCACTGGGCTACCTTCCGAGGGTCCTAACTGGCTCCAGTCCAGCTTGGCAGGCTCAGTGGGGGTCAAAGGAGGTGGCCGGGTGTCCATAGTTTCCTATGGGGTTATAGGTAAATGTCCGTGAGCTAATGATATTAGAGGTGATAATTGGGGAAGCTATCTTTGTAATGGGTAAGATAGCTAGAGTCTTTGTTGAGACCCCCACGTAAAGTGTTGAATTTTAGCATGAATAACAGTTCAGAGGATTCCCTTTCAAGTGCAGTTTTAAAAGGCTTTTGAAGCAGGATGCAGGTAATTAAGTCGTTGAGACAATGTCCTTTCTGGTTGAAATGGCAAGAAACTGTTTTTTCTTTGTGATCCTGTCTGATATCTGTTTTGTGGGAATTGATCCTTTGGCGAAGTGTCTGAGACGTTTGTCCAATGTACAAAGCAGACGGACACTTTCGGCACATGATAGCATAAATTATATTTTGGATGCCTAGAAACCATCTACTTCAAGACAGACCCAAGAAAACCAACAATAGATCACCTACAACCCCCAATTTAAATCTGTCCAATACATTATCAGTAAACTACAGCCTATACTGGAACAGGACACCAAACTCCAAGAGGCTCTGGGATACAGACCCATAGTCTCCTGTAGACAACCACCTAACCTCAAGATGATTCTTACCAACAACCACAGGACATACCACACTAATACCAACCCTGGTACCTTCCCTAGGTTGCCAGCTTTGTCCACATATTCACTCTGCTGATACCATTATTGGACCTAACCAAGTGAGTTATAAGATCAAGAACACATATTCCTGCGCATCCAGAAATATAATTTATGCAATCATGTGCCCTCAAACCACATGCAGAGGGACACACCTTAAGTGTGGTTGCATATACATGCAAATAGCTTCTTTCACACTGACAAGCATGAATACAAAGATTAAGGCAAGACAACACAATACACTGGTCCCACTTAAGTCAGTGCTGCTGATATTACTAAAATGCAATATTTACCCGATTTCCATCCATGACAGCATCTTTAATGAGCAATGACAGTTCAGGAATTTAACTACTAAAACACAACTCTATAGAAGACCATTAGATTGACTACTTCTTTGTTTTGGCTCCCACCCACGGGCCACGTGGTGAGCCCTGTGTAAACCCAAACCGCACTGCGGGCTGCAAACAAACAGGCTGCAGGCCACATGCAGCCCATGGGCCATGTGTTGAGTAGTCCTGTTGTAAAGTGATCAGAAACAAAGGCCTCAAGAGAACTGGCCAGTGATCCCCACCTTAGGGCCGTTGTTTCAGAATTGCTGGGAGATGTGACGAGTTCTTGCCCAGGGCCCCCCAAATTGATGTACCCACAAAACCAACACAAAACATGAATGGCTGCCTTTAAAAAACCTTGGTCCAAGGAGTTTTGCAACGTGGTGCGAGGCTGAGCGAGTATGAGGCAAACTTACTCATCGGGGTTGAGTCTAGAGTCAAAGGGTGTGCCTACACAGCAAAGTTATTCCGAAATAACTATGCGAGCATGTATACGGCAATTCCCTTATTTTGAAATTATGTCAAAATAATGGGCAGCTTATTCCGACGTCTATAAACCTCCTTCTACGAAGGATAACGCTTATTCCAAAACAGCTATTTCGAAATAAGGCGTGTGTAGATGCTCCACTGCTGCTATTTCAAAATTGGCCCTCACCGGGGCCATTCTAAGTTATCTTTCGTGGAGCTCTAAATCGAGATAGCACGTCTCCATTAGGGAAGCCTGCCTCGGACTAATTTTAAGGCTTCCCTGCAGTGTAGATGTGCTATTTCGAAATAAGCTATTTTGGAATAACTATTCTGCAATAGCTTATTCTGAAATAACGGTGCAGTGTAGACATAGCCATACTGTGCTCTAGGCTTCTCATTGCATCCACTCTACTGTCGATCATGTTTACTCTGAAATCTTTCAGGTCAGGAACTATTATTTGTGTCTCGGGAAGCACAGAGCATGTTGTCAGTGCTTAATAATTAACATGACTGGATCCCCTGAGGCTCTTAGCAGAGCCTTGTATTGTTAATTGCTTCTTTCTCCCTTGGAAGGCAGTGCCTAAAGCACCAACTCTAAACATATACAGCAGCAATGGGCAACCTAGGCTAGTGAGTAGGGCGCGTGAGTGACCCTTCTTCCTCTCAATGTGTTGCAAGAGTGTTGTAACCAAGATGGTCTCCCGGGATAAGGCAGTTTTGCTAGCTGCGTGTGTGTACCTAGAATTTGCAGGTGGTGCCAATTGAACCGTAGCAGCACTTTGATGGGATGCACAGGCAGTGTATGGCACTGACAATCAATATTGTGTGCAATCAGCACACACGTGCTCCTTTGCCTGCATGTCCCTTTAGTAATACCAGTAGAAAAAAACTGGTGTGGATTGAAACCAGCAGAATCTGGTAACCCTGTGCACAGGCAACAGGCCCAGGGGAGATGCTGCTAGCCCCTGTGCAGGGTTTTGCCCCCACACAGGGTGAGACAAAGGGATTGAGCCACCTGCTGAGTGTGCAAAGGTGGGGGGGAGGGCAGAGAGCGGTTTTTATTTCCCCTCTCAGGCAAAATGTACCAACGCAGGAGTACAGGGCAACTTCGTGCCTGTGCTCTTAAAGGTTAGGGATGTTAAATTGCGGCTAGTAAGTTGCTTGTGTAACCGATGAAATTTCCATTGGCTACTCAATTAATTGATAAGGGGATTAGCTTAGAGGGAACTAACTAAACTCATCTCTTAATTGCTCTCAGTCATTGGATTGGTGACCTCCCTTAGAGTGCCACGAAATCGGTATTAACAGTAGCAGTAAACAGAACTCAATAAGTCAGTACTTTGCATATAGCCCACTCCCCCTTTTCATAAGAATTCATCCCCCCACAGATTGCTTCCCAATTCCCCATTACTTCATATTTCTTCTCAGACCACTAGTAGCCCATGGTACTATGGTTCTTCAAGAACTGCAGCAATCACACCTAGAATTAATTGAGCTGTCAGGAGCACTCTCACTCCCAGTACCTAGCAAGCTTCTGAAAAGCACATGCCCCTTCTTCTAATTTCTGTTACGGACACATCCAAAATATAGGCACTGTACAGACATTGGAAGATGTGCCTGCCCATGAAGAAGTTACAGGCTAGGGAGATAAAAGAAAACAAAAACACACGAACAAAAAAACCTGCACAAAAGGATTCACATAAAGCACAGTGCATGTGTTAGAGAAAGAGAGAGAGAGATTGCAGGCTTTGTTAGCACTGGTCTCCCCACAGGTCTTAAAAAGTCTCTAACACAGAGAGACAAAATGCGGGAGGAGTGAGAAAAGGGGTGGTTTAACTGGGTAGTTTTCAACCTGGCAGCCCTTTCAGTTTGAAGATGGTAAAAGCAGGCACCTGATTCTTCATTTCCCCTGCAGTTTGTAGTTTTCTACACCACTGCAAAGTGAGTGCAAAAGACAGACACTCTAATCTGGTTGCATTTCACACACACATCGTATGGGTGTAAAAATTACAGAAAGTGCAAGACAACAGAGGATCAGACAGGACCCAAACCTCCAGAGCTTCCTCTACAAAGCAGCAGCAATAAATAACCCACAGAGCTGGAACTGCAGGGCAGGCCTACAGTTTGATTCTGTTTTGAAGGGAGCCCTCTGATCTCCCTCAGTTGCTGTGGAAACTTAGTTTCAAAGATCCCCACCAAGCACTGAATTGGGGTAGAAGAAGTGGGCTGTACCCACGAAAGCTCGTGATATTATCTACATGTTTTGTTAGTCTCCGAGGTGCTGCAAGGCTATTGTTTTTTTAAAATGTTCCAGTTACAGACTAACTCTCCTACCCCTCTGAAGTTTTTGGGGTAGCAAGTTAGCCTGACATTTTACACTCAGACTTACTAAGCATATCCAGGGCTACAACGCTACAGCTGCAGCCCGGTCTTACCTGGTTTGTCTCCTCACTCTGGCTCCTGAGACACCTTTGTCCGCCGCAACTGGCAAACTTCTGTTCGGCTCCTGAATAGGTGCGGCTAAGCACATGACAGACAGCTGGGGAAAACCAATCAAGACGTGGTATTCGCCATCCTGGCCAATCAGAAGTAGCAAGTGGGTGGGACGAGTGGGGCTTAGAATGTTGCAAACTGCGGAAGAGGGAAGTGGCAACTCAAGATTCCACAAGGGACAAAGTATCCCTGCTCAGACACTGGGGCAGGATGAAAGGGGATTTTTCTCCATGTCGCCAGAGGAGGGAGGTCAGGGGCTCCTCTGGAGAGCCCCATCTCAGCCGAAGCAAAAGACAGGCCTGTGCAGCACTTTAAAGACTAACAAGATGGTTTATTAGGTGATGAGCTTTCGTGGGCCAGATCCACTTCCTCAGATCAAATAGTGGAAGAAAATTGGCATGCCCCTATATACTGATGAATTATATAAGCTGATGATTCAAAGGGCTCCTAGGGCCTGCATATCTAAACAAAGGTGGGGGAGCTGCAAACAATTACTGTTTGATCCTTATTCACATTTCTCCAGTGGACATGTGTAGTGATTGCTGTTGGCGTGTTTTGAAGGTGGTAGCTAGAAAAATCACCCACAGAGTCCAGTGAGGATTCTTGGCAGGAGCCCCCATTATAGCAGGGATTAAGAGGTGTGTGTGGGGGGGGGACAACCTCTGTGGGAATTGCATTGTTTCAGGGGACACATTAATCGTGTGATGGGACTTGGAGGTGAATTCCTGGGCACTGCAGGGCTTGAGGATAATATGGCATGTTGGCATTGAGGCACTGTGGCAATTCAGTGTTCATTTCCATTGTGCTTTTATTTTTTAGGAGATGCTTCTGAGCTCTCAAGCCCTCTCCCAGTTTACTGGCATAGGGTGGTATTGGAGCAACTCACCCTTTCTGTTTCCCTGTCCCCTGCTGAGCTACCAGAATTAGCCTGTTGGCAATGCCCAAATGCTACCGTCTCCATCCCCCCCCTCCCCGTTCTGTTCTGTAGGAAGGAAGGCACTGTCTCTTTCAAAGAAGCTAGTAAATTAGACCCCCCAAATGTTATGGAGTACCCCATCAACGACATAAAAGCAATCCAATGTGTGCAAAGTGCCTCAAAGAACTGGGATTCATGGTTTGAACAAACTATAATATTTACCTTCCAGTCCTCTCCTGCCCTGAGTGTAGGTCCCATTGCTAACAAGGAGTTGGCTGGCTCTTCCTATTCCAAAATCTTAGCCGGCTACAAATTGGTGCAAGCAGCAGTGGGCTGATACATGTGATTGTGCCTCAGCACAGCACCACAATGAAATCAGCTGAATCTCAGGTGACAGGTGAGCTCTTTGGGGCAGGGCCTTTTATGAGCTTTGCATAATGTCTAGCATAATGCCCTGATCCTGTCTGGGTGCTTCTGTGATAGAAATAATGAACATAATGAATGCTGTGCTACTGTAGCACCTGTCATCCTGCTTGCTGCAAACAATCATTCACTGGGCTCCACAACATTCTTTATTATCCCTTTTCACAGATGGGGATACTGAGTCACCACAAAGAGCTAAGGCCAACATTTTCTGAAGTAGACACATTATTCTGAGTCTTGTAGTCTTTGGATGAGACCATAGGGCCTGATTTTCATGTGATCCACAGGATGTGCTGAAATGATCAGGATTTGTGGGTGCTTGGCACTGGTGAGAATCTTGTCGCGAGAATCACAGGTCCGATGATGCATACCCAAGGGGGGAAGGACAGAACCAGGTGGACAGTTTTAGCAAATAAAGGATATTTATTTATGACAGTGGTGAATTTATAGTATTTATTCTAAAATGTTTAATAGACTGTGTTAATAATGAATTTACAGTATTTATTATATTTATTCTACGATTTCTAGTTAAACGTGTCAGACATATAAGGATGGGAATGGCAAGGGGAATAGTCTCTATTCTAACAATATCCAGCTACACTAATTAAATAACAGTGATAACTACAAACTCTATGTACTACCCAAAACAACTACAACACTAAGCTTATACAACAAAGAAAATCAAATCATACATACCAACTTACACAGCACACGGAACATTTCAAAGATATCGGTTTGGTTGCGAAGGCCTTGGTTATGCCCGAGAGTCGGGGGAGGTGGCTGGTCGGTTGATCAGGCCGGCAGCGCTTTGAAGTATACGAGAAGGCACACGCACGTTGGTACGTGTGTTGCAAAGACCTCCTAGAGTGAACTGTGCGATGGGTATTTATCCCTAAATCTGCACATCGCTTTCCCGCGCTTGCATATTACCATATATGACCCAATGGTCACCAAGTGGGGGGTCTGTGTCCCAGGGGTTGGGCCAAAACTGTGCAGGTTTCATGAGACCAGGTAAGCCCTGTAGTTCTCAAGCCAAGGTGACGGGTGGGAGAGTCTGAGGCTATTTTCCCCTTTTCACACCTTCCCTTTTTCTAAAGGCAATGGTATGCAGGAAGGGTGCGGCCGGTTTCTCCCAAGGAGTACTGCAGCCTACTATAGCAAGAGCGGCCTGGCCAAACTTTTTTACTGGGGGAGCAGTTTTTTTTCTAACAAATCTATACTTGCCACTGCCCACTTTTGCCACATTAGGGTCAGCTGCCACTTTTGAACAGAGGGCTGCACGTGACTTGTCTTGCAAAGTGGTAAATGGTGTCCTTACACAGAACTGTCTGTGGAGAAAAGGGCATCTAAGTAGGCCAGTTTCAGAAATGGTGATGAAAGCCTTTTCACGCATGTCTATTGCACCATTCAAGGTGTGTAAACAGACAGAGCACCATGGGAGCAATCTAAATGTACTTTGCATGGGATTGTAATGCGGCACAGTAGTTGACTTGCTGCATTTGAATGGCTATTGGCTGCCCAGGTGGAATGGATGTGCATATCCCAACAATGATGGTTAATTTATATCTAGTCTGAAGTGCAGATGGCCAGTAAGGCCAGCCAGAACACCAACATGAGACCTCTTTCCCAATGGGAGAACTGCTGTGATTAGTATCTGCAATCACAGGATGTCCTGAAAATGTATCCCATGCTCTTGCAATATGATAGCAAAGGTTACACCAACACGTGCACCAAATGGATAATCTGTCTAGGGTGCTTATCTTGCCCTCACCACTGTATCATTTGTGCCTGATAATATAATTTATTTATCCACATAACATTTCTGCTATTATTCCCATTTTACAGATGGGGAAATAAGGTACAGAGAGGCTAAGGTGCAGTTCGCAAGGGGCTTAGGTATACAGTTGCAATTTTAGGCATCTAAGTCCAACATTTAGGCTTGGTCTAACTATGTCAGTGTCTGTACTAGAATGCTGCTTCCATCAAAGTAAGTGGCCTGCTATCCTAAAATCATAACTCCACTTCTATGAGAGGGTTAGTACTTATGTTGGTGCAGTTAAGGAGACTCCAGCTACATCTTCACTGCGAGTTCTTCCAGCAGAAAATATGCTAATGAATGTCTCATTAGCATGAGTCATGATCTCATGAGCATATTTTCTGCTGATCCGTTTTTGCGCTAGGGGTTTTTGTGCAAAAACAAGCAGTGTGGATGTTTCCTTTTTGCACAAAACCCCCTTTTTGCACAAGATCGGTAAACCTTCTTTTTTGAGGTATAAGGATCATGAGCAAAAAGGAAACGTCCCCACTGCTTGCATTAGCATATATTCTGCCGGAAGAACTCAAAGTGTAGAGGTAGCCACTGTGCCTACATAGACACTGCATTATTTACATCAGTTGTATAATTTTTGTCAGTTTTGCAGCTAAGTTTAGCTGAGAGCAGCACTGTTGCACTCACAGCTGGAGCCATGAAACTGACAAGAATATCCATTTCACTGCTGATAAGGTCTGTGCTATGATATTGAGCCTCTGGCCATGCAGAAATGTTTGCAGGATCAGGGCCTTAGGCTCTATGCTCCTCTAACTTTCTCTCCACCCTTCTCACTTGTGTGGACCCTTGTAGCTCAGCATCTTCTGCCTGGGGTCAGGGTCCCTGATGGGCTGCAACTTAAGGGCCAGTCGCATATGACCCAGAATATCTTAAAAGATGGCAAATGCAAAGTGCAGCATAACCACGGTGGAAAAACCATCACTGATCCACTGCAGATTTGTTGTGCTGGCAAACTCTGCCAACAAGCTGTTCCCAGCTGTCTATCAAGGCAGATGCAAGGATGAGCAAAGACTATTAGTTAGGGCAGCACTTAGTCTTGATTTCCAAATGGCACATACATCAAACGTGGCCCGCTGGTTACTTTTGGGGCTGTTGGTGCCACAGAGCCCAGGTGCCCCTCCTCCAGGAGCTGGGGAATAAGATTATGTAGTTTCCATGGCTGGTGGATGCAGCCCACAAGGTCTGTTAGCCACTGCAGGCCGCAAAGAGTTAATAAAACACTGGCTGTCATTCCTGCATCCTTCTTTCCCCCTCACTGCCCTTCTCCTCTCCCCTGTAGAGGCTCCTTTGTAGAAGGGCTCTAAGACTAGAAATATTTTCAGCCGATAAAACTGATTAAAAACATACCTCACTCTCTCCACTGCATCTTCCCTCCTTTGGGGTAGGAGCATGGCACATCCTTGTGCTGAAATGGACCTAGATAGCCCCAGAATGTGAAGTATGCAGACCCGAGCAGACCAAAGGAAGAGATGTAAGTGGAGACACACAACCCGTTACTGCTCCAGCAAAAAAGCTTTGAATGTAGCAGAGCTGGAGCTGCCTCTGCTTGTCAGCCTACCTACACTGGTGGAGAGAACAGACTGTACTTGGCTGTAGTTACACCTGCACTTTCTAGTTCCCAGCTCTGCACAGGGTGCAACTGAGAAGTCTCAGGATCACAGTGCCGGGGAACATTCCGCTCCAGGCTACAGAGAAGCAGCAGATCGACTATGTGGGTGCTGGAACGCGGTAAGGACTGGTATAGGCCATGCTCTCAGAGTCTTTTCTTGTGGTATTCCTATTTAGTCTGGCAGGGGCACCCTTCCCCCATATGGCCTTACCGCAGCAAGCTGTCTTTGAGGGAGCTCCTGGAGGAGGAGGGCTCCTTAGGAAGCCTGGATTCCAGGGCCTTCATTTCCCATTTTTATTTTGTTTAAGTTTTCTTGGGAATTGATCAGTATTTGTTACAAAAATTGAAAAGACGGGTGACAATGGGTGTAACAAAGTGGTTTTCCAGTTAATGCTGGGGGACAGGAGGATGGGAGGAAAAAAGCAACACATAGAAAAAAAGAAGAGTATTGAAAGTAAAAAGCAGTTCAATGCGCTGATTCATTTCATTAACTGTATGCATGGAGATGCATGTCTGTGTGCATCTTCCCCACTGCTTTGTCTGACTTTAACAGATAGCCTCATGTGGACACCAACCCTGATTTATTATGAACAGAAACACATCTACCTACAATAATGAATTGGGTGTCCTGAACTTAGTCTTTTCATGTACTTGACTGGTTCAAAATTTGGGTGAAAAGCTGGAATACCCTAATAATAGCTTTTGGGAACCTTTCAGTAACAATTGTTAAGAACTGAAAACAGCAGGCTGTAGGGATACTCCAATCAAGCACCAGTTTACAATTCTGTCATTCCCTCCTCACCAAACTATGGTCTCTTCAGGTATGCCCTGTATTGTGGTCCTGGCCAGGGGATTGCTACAGTGCCCTGCAGCTTCTTTCCTGCACCAGGAGACACAGAGGGGGGTTCATGTATCTTTTGCTCCCTGTATACCTGCTGCTTGTTCCCTCTCCCATTCCTGTGGCTCCCTTAGTGCCTACCCAGCCTCCGCCCATCTCTAGGCTTGTATGCAGTCCCGCACAGTCTGATTTCTTTCCCCAGCCTCCCCTGATGTTGCTCAATCAGCAGGCAGGCTGGCTTGTTCTTGGCTCTCAATCTGCCCATTCTCCACACAGTCCTGTTCCTCCATTCTTCCAGACTTGCCAGCTCCATACTTCTAGGTAGAGGGACACCCTGGGAGCAGAGACAACATTAGGCATGTCCTTGGGCCCAGGGACATCTATTTAAAGGGTGTTTGTCCTCCAGATCCCTCCCAGTCTTGGCCACTGACCTGGGCCTCCCTTCCTGCCTCCAAACACTTGGCTGGGTGAGACACGAACCTGTGAATCTGCTCCAGGATCATTCCCATTGTGCCGAGCAGGAACCCAAGACCCAGAGAAGCAAAGCCACTCACCCAGTGAGTCAGCCGTGAAGCTGGGGTTAGAACCAGTCTTCTGATCTCACTAGAACACACTGCAATCCTGATTGGGGAGCACGCAACGTCTCTTTGTATTCTCACCCTGCTCTTGGGTCCTATTAAGCCCTATCCTCTCTCATGTTTGGCCTCCATGTGGCGCCTCCCTCCAATCCAGAGCCCTCTTGTGAAATCAGGCAGTTGGCGCACACATGTATTTCACAGCAAACCTTTATTATCTGGACCTCAGCAAACTTGTTCCTGGATCACTGTATAGAGATTCATCTGAAAACACTGGGTGTATCCACAGGGTCGTTTTCACTTCTGCTGCAGATCTGCACCCCTCTGCTAGTTGTCAGGATTGCTTGCAGCTGTGGTTCTTATGACAATAGGTACTTTGGCCACAACTTTGGTCATGGACCACGGAAGGTAAACAGTCCCTATCAACTCATACCGGACTTCCATGATTTCGTTGGCTATGGACATGCTGCTGACAGAGAGTAGCCTGGGCAGGGAGAACATGCTAGTGATCCTTGTGACCTCAGAGGGGACTGCCTTAGTTCTGGATTCCAGTCTCATCAGTTCATTTCGGTCTTCCAAGGAGCGCTGCTCTGCCCTAATGGTGTAGCCAAAGTAGAGGATGATGGAGTACAAGGCAAAAACCACCTTCCTGATGGCCTTGCCTGTCTGGTTGTCAATCTCTGTCGTGAAGATGATGTTTTCACCAGGGGCAAATGTGTTTTTCACCAGGGAAAGCCGGAGGATGACAAGGCCGTGTCGGAAGCAGCAATGGTAAGCAACGTTCTTGTCAACTTCCACCGTCAAAGGGTACTGCATGGGAAGGGGGAGAAGGTAGAGTATGGTGAGCGCCATTCACAGGATACAATGGGATGATGACCTAGAATCCTTAGACATGTGGGAACTCTGTTAGTGCACTGAAATAAATCAGCAGGCACCCAAAACTTCATGTGTGGCCCTTTGAATTTCATAGAAGCAGCAAGGACAGACCCAGGTTCCTGTCACTTGAGCTAAAGGTGATTTTTTCTTAAAGGGGGTGTGCGAAGGGTGTGAAAGCACCTCCTTATGATCCCCCAAGTAAACTGCTCCATCCAGCCAGGGGAAAGCAGGCGCAGTGCACTACCCAAGCCTCCTTCCTCCATGCTCTGACCAGCTGGAGGAAGGCTGGGGCTGATTTCCTCACTTATTTGGGGGACCATGGGATGTACATTCACACCCTTGTGGTCCACATTTACAAAAAAGTGCGTGCGTGCGCATAGGGGGTGTGCGAAGGGTGTGAAAGCACCTCCTTATGATCCCCCAAGTAAACTGCTCCATCCAGCCAGGGGAAAGCAGGCGCAGTGCACTACCCAAGCCTCCTTCCTCCATGCTCTGACCAGCTGGAGGAAGGCTGGGGCTGATTTCCTCACTTATTTGGGGGACCATGGGATGTACATTCACACCCTTGTGGTCCACATTTACAAAAAAGTGCGTGCGTGCGCATACACACACACACACAGAGAAATTCCTGCGTACAGGCCTGATATACAGTGCATTAGAATAACATTAATAGTCACACTTCTCTCGCCCCTTCTATCCATGCATCTCAGAGCATGTAACAAACGTGAAGTAGCGTAGGGCTCAAAACTGATTCCTGCAGGACTCCACTAGAAACACACCCCTAATATAATTTCCTGTATACAATTACATTTTGAGACCTGTCAGTTAACCAGTTTTTAATTCATTTAATATGAGACATGCTAACTTCATGTTGTTTAGATTTTTAATCAAAATGTCATGTGTTACTTAGTCAAATGATTTACAGTATGTTACATCAACATTATTAACTTTACCAAGTAAATGTATAATTTCATCAAAAACACATCAAGTTAGTTTGACAGGATCTATTTTCCATAATCCCCTGGTGATTGGCATTAAATATATTATCTACCTTTAATTTTTTATTAATCGAGTCTTGTATTAACTATTCCATTATCTTGCCTAGGACTGATGTTGGACTAGCAGGTCTATGATTACCTGGGTCATTCCCCTTTCCCATTTAAAATATTGGCACAACATTGGCTTTCTTGAAGTCTTCTGGAACTTCTCTAGCATTCCAAGACTTATTGAAAATCAACATTAATGATCCAGTGAACTCCCCATCAGCTCTTTTAAAACTCTTGGATGTAAGTTCTCTTGCTAAGTTGTCTTGGCCTGCTAAATGTCTAACTATACTAGCTACTATTTAACACTGTCCTGAGATACTAATGGGGTTAGTATCTCATATATATGATTAAATCCTCTGTTTCCCAAATACAGAACAGATATATTTATTGAACGCTTCTGCTTTTTCTGATTTATTAGTGATAAAATAAATCAGAAATGCAGCTGATGATGCTTATTGGCTCCTCTTAGTAATATAGCTAAGTGGCTACAAAAATTGATTCCAATATTTCTGATGATTAAATGCATTGTTTTAGATCATTGTAATTTGAACAATGATCTTCAAAGGAAACATAATGGTTGTATGAATTTTTTGGATGCTCTGTGTTATAGATGGAAGGCCTAAAAGTTTCCCTCATCTGCGGAGGCAGATGATGCTACCAAACCTAAAGTCAAGGGGATACTTTTGGCACAGGCTGAAATGTTAGGGTGGCATTTGCCTCCTACAGTATCACCTGACGTGAAGCTTTGAGGAATCAAGGTGTCTCCCCTTTTCACTATGGTTTTGTTGGGGCACATCTCTTATTTCCCCCCATTTTCTTCTTTAATAGGAAAATTCCAGCCACTAAACACCTGGCTGCCCTCCACAAACATACATGCTCTCCTACCGCTACTCTTTACCTTCCATGGGACTGCATCCTCTTACCTAAAGAGGTAAAGCAGGTAGGTGGGAGAAAGTCACACACTGACTTCTGCGGTTGGCCTGCACACCACGTTTCTACCAGGATAACCATGTCAGTAAAGGGTGTGACTTTTATTTTATTGTTATTGGTATAAGCATCTTTGGACCAGTATAACTGCATCCACTTTGGGGTGGGCTTGGGCGGGGCTGGAGTGCACTACTTTAAGTACACTGGTGTAGCAAAAGTGGTACATGGTACAAATTTTGCACATAGCCATACCCTTAGAGTGGGCAGCCTCCATTCATGTGGCTTTACTGTGGGTCCTCATATTTGCTTGAACCAGCTCCCAAGTCCTGGTCTTGATCTTCAAAGCTCCCCAGCCAGCTCGGCTACCGAGAGAGGGAGCAGTCAAAACCCATTAGCTAGGCAGATGTCACGCTGATCCACAGCCTCTAGCAGGACTGGCTTGGAGCAGGCCCCGGTGCTTCTTGGTCAGGCCGTCTCGGAGGCAGGTGAACGCTGCACTCTGCAGAGCCCCTGATAACAACCACCTGGCCAAGCCACCCAGCAGCTAACCTGCGCCTGGCACCCCTCCTTCCTGCACCAGCCCATCAGGGGATGAGAAGCTGGAGATGAGCCAACAGTGCACCCTTGTAAATATTGTGAACGCCAGACATCGGCAAGAAGGAAGGAGGAAAGGGATTTAGGGGCTCTGAGCACGGTACCGGGGAAGCCAGGTTCTGCTGTGTGACCTGCGCCTCTGTGCCTCAGTTTCCCCCGTGTGATGGGGCATTGACTAAGTCACCCCTAAGCAGGGCGGTGAATGAATTTCACCTTAGCAGAGAGGCCTGCGTCAGCATGAGGCCCAGGGTGAGCATTCCCCACGGGAAGGATGGCTCACGCCCGTTACAAGGAAAGTCTCTTTTCGGGTAAAGCCAACCAGGGCATGGTGGAAATTTGTGCCGGGTTCGGAGCCCGGAGACGGGGGCCCTCTAGCCAGAGACAGGAGAACCCAACCAGCCACAGGCAAGGATGGCAGGGGATGAGAAGCTGGAGATGAGCCAACAGGGCACCCTTGCAAATAGCATATTGGGTTGCCTTAGGAGGAGCATGGCCAGCAGATCCAGAGACGTGATTATTCCCCTTTATTCAGCTCTGGGGAGGCCACATCTGGAGTGTTGTGTCCAGTTCTGGGCCCCCCACTCCAGGAAGGTTGTGGACCCACTGGAGAGGGTCCAGCGGAGGCAACACAAATGATTCGGGGCTGGAGCACACGACCTATGAGGAGCGGCTGAGGGATTTGGGTTTGTTCAGTCTGCAGAAGAGCAGAGTGAGGGGGGATTTGAGAGCAGCCTGCAACTCCCTGAAGGGGGGTTCCAAAGAGGCTGGCGAGAGGCTGTTCTCAGTGGGAGCAGGTGGCAGAACAAGGAGCAATGGGCTCAAGTTGCAGTGGGGGAGGTCTGGGTTGGATATTAGGAAAAACGATTTCCCTAGGCGGGGGGGGAAGCGCTGGGCTGGGTTCCCTAGGGAGGGGGTGGAATCTCCATCCCTAGACGTGTTTAGGTCCCGGCTGGACCAAGCCCTGGCTGGGCTGATTGAGTTGGGTTGGTCCTGCCTTGGGCGGGGGGCTGGACTCGGTGACTCCTGAGGTCTCCTGGGATTCTCTGAGTCTCCATGTTAACTAGCATTTTGTCCCCAGAACAGAGAACAGGGCCCTTCCTGCGGACCGGCAGGGACCACTTCCATGAGTGGGGGAGGCACTCAGAGACCAAGGTGATGGGCCTGCTCCCTGGGCAGCACAAACCTCTTCCTCCAGAGAGAGAGCAAGCCGTCAGGGCCTGCTACCGTGGGAGGTATGCATGGGGTGGATGCCGGCTGGCTGAGAAGTGGCCAGAGATCATCACATTCATGAGGCCACCAACCTGCCAGGGATGGAATTTGAAAGGAGACAAATTCAGAGGAGAGACAAGGAGCTAATTGCTAAGACCGGGGGCAAGGAATGTTTGGAACAGCTGTCCCAGGGTCAGGGTGGACATTCAACATAAGAACATAGGAACAGCCAGACTGGGTCAGACCAAAGGTCCATCTAGCCTGGGATCCTGTCTGCCCACAGTGGCCAATGCCAGGTGCCAGAGAGGGAGGGAACAACAGGAAATCCTCATGTGATCCCTCCCCTGTCACCCATTTCCAAACAAACAGCATCTAGAGACACCATTCCTATCCATCCTGGCTAGTAGCCATTGATGGACATAACCTTTACAAACTTATCTAGCTCTTTTTGGAACCCTGTTAAAGTCCTGGCCTTCACAACATCCTCTGGCAAGGAGTTCCACAGGTTGACTATGTGCTGCGTGAAGAAAAACTTTCCTTTGGTTTGTTTTCAACCTGCTGCCTATTTCTTTCATTTGGTGACCCCTAGTTCTTATAATGTAGGAACAAGTAAATAACTTTTCCTTTTTCACTTTTTCCACAAAACCATCCGCTCTAGCGCATTCCGAAAATATGGGTGTGGTGCCAGCCTTGCACTCTTTGGGCCCCTGCCAACCCAGGCTGGCTTGGATCGCATGACCCAGCGGCCAAAGCTGCCAGGGTCATTCCATGAACTACCAGGTCCTGCTGCTATTTTTGCAGCAGGGCTAATTTTTCCTGTGCCATTTGGTAGGGGCTCTTCAGCCGGGCAGAGGAAGGTCTAACACGAGCCAATGGCCGAACGTTGAAACTAGACAAATTCTGACCGGACGCAAGGTGCACATTTTTAACAAGGATCAGACACTGGAACAATTTCCTGCTGGCTGCGGTGGAGTCTCCCCCACTGGCCATGTTTAAATCAAGGGTAGGTGTTTTTCTAGAGCATCGCCTCTCGTTCCAAGGGGAGAGAGGAGACAGTTCTAGGTTCTGTGTGTAGATTACCTGTCTTGTCTTTAGGTAACTTGGTAAGAGTGCTTCTATACCATGGGGATAGGTCTGGCACAAATAGCCAGCTACACTTCCTTGGGAGCAGCACTGGACTCTTCCATTCTTTCTCTGCTCCTGTCACAGGAAGAATATTCTCTATTACCTTACCTCTGATTCTATTTTATCTTTAAAGACGCCAGAGGTCCCTTGCACCAGTAAATATTTCTTCTGCTTGGCTAAGATGAGCTCGCGGCTGGCACAGGAGGCTTGGAGGAAGTAGGAGACACGGGCTATCTTGCTGGTGAATGTCGATGGAAGTCGGGGAGGTAAGTTGAAGTTGAAATCAAAGGTATGGGTGCCCGAACCAAGCCAGTTATCTGTAAGCCAAAGGACATTCCCTCACTTGCCAAGCTATAAGATCACCTCTTAGACATGGGCTGCCTTGCATTCTCAGTGGATTTTTTAAATGAAGATAGCAACCCCACAGCAGCTTGCCAATTATTTTTAGGAGCCTGTTCCTGCCAAATACAGAGTATCCTGAACTTGTGATGAGTTCCTTAAGCATAGAGGCTGTGTCTAGACTGGCTAGTTTTTCTGGAAAATCCGCCGCTTTTCTGGAAAAACTTGCCAGCTGTCTACACTGGCCGCTTGAATTTCCGCAAAAGCACTGACTTCCTACTGTAAGAAAGCTTTTTGCGGAAATACTATGCTGCTCCCGTTCGGGCAAAAGTCCCTTTTGCGCAAAACTTTTGCGCAAAAGGGCCAGTGTAGACAGCTGAGATTTGTTTTGTGCAAAAAAGCCCCAATTGCGAAAATGGCGATCGGGGCTTTTTTTGCGCAAAAGCGCGTCTAGATTGGCCACGGACGCTTTTCCGCAAAAAGTGCTTTTGCAGAAAAGTGTCCGTGCCAATCTAGACGCTCTTTTCTGAAAATGCTTTTAACGGAAAACTTTTCCGTTAAAAGCATTTCTGGAAAATCATAGCAGTGTAGACGTAGCCGAAGAGTATTTAAGACCTCGCATGTCCTACAGAAATAAGGCAATGGAATGTTTACTTCTCCTTTTTTGGTGTCACTGGATACAATAAATCCTCAGAGAGCCCAATTCTCCACAGTCTGGCTTTTCATGTTTTCAGTTACAGCTGCACAAAGCAGGGATAAAACTGCTATTGGATCACTCACACTGGTGATATATTTTACCTTTGTTTTGCGTTAATGTGAATGACACAAGATGCAAGGACGTAGAAAATCATTTTTGTGTCTCTGCTTCTGTTTCCTTCTTGAATTCTCTAGCATAAGTCGGTGCAATTACATTGAATTTGGAACCATTTCCTGCTCAAACTGGCCAAAATTTGGCCTTGTCTCACTTTGAACTGATGAGATAATTTTCTGATCCAGCTCCCTATGTACATGTACTGTTTTGGGATGTAGAATACCTTTTCTTCAGTGTAGCTTAAATAACTTCTAAAGAAATTTAAATTAAACTGAAAAAGGCACTCTAAATCCCAAAAGAGAATGTGCATATAGGGAGTTATCCTGCATAGCTTTAGAGATATAATTATACTGGTATAGGACTGCTGGTAAATTGTGTGAAAAAAATGTTGAATATCGTGGTCTCTTAGTATCTCTGAAAATCAGGCCATTTATTTAGGAGATTAAATATGGATTTAAGTGCTTGCCTTTAGGCACCCAATTTTGAAATTTTGGTCTTTAAGCTATAGAGTTGAAAAGTGTCAAAGAAGTACTGCTTATTATTATCACTCTCTCTATATAAAAAAGCTTTTCCTGATGGACAACAGAACGACGTCACCACATCATCAGTGTCAACAGGCTCTGTCAACGAAGCAAAAGCGGGAGGAGGGGGGGATAAGGCGAGCGTAGCAAACAGAGAACGCAACCCCCTAGTTATGTTAAATATCAGAAAGATTATTTCACCCTAAATTTACAATAATACTTGGCACACCTTTCAACTTGTCACCATGAGAGGTAATAGATCAAATGCACAACTTGATTGCACATTCTCAAGGTAGGAAAAATGACCTTTCTGGTGATGTATAGTTTTTAAGGCCTAACAGCCTAGGAGGAGTTGAAATCTGACCATTGGAGGTCAGATACAAGATTTAATACATTGACATGCAGCCTAACCCTTTATCTACATCTTGAGCTATAAAGCCAGCGAGGAGGGGTTCACAACCCACTGCTTTTATACTCCTGGAAACATCCGGGATTAACAGATTATTTATATAAAAACACAGTAAGACCCTGACTAATTGTTATTGATCTCCTCTATGTGCCTCATATATCCTTGCTGAAAGGCAGGGAGGTTAACAGCATGAACCATAGTGAGATCTCATGTTATTGAGATCTCATTTTTACAAAATATTCTATGCTTACACATACACCATCTAGATCAGTGGTTTTCAAACTATGGGTTGTGACTAAATACTGGGTTGTGGTACAGAGTGATCCGGCGACCAGTGGGGATGGTAAGGCAGGCTACTTGCCTGTCCTGGCACTGCAGACTGTACTGTACCCCAAAAGTGGCCGCCTGTAGGCCCGTCACCTAGACGGGAGGAAGGGGGAAGCACACAGGATTCTGCCTACTACTCCTGCCCTGAGCACTAGCTCCGCATTCCCATTGGCTGGGAACTGGCTCCTAGCAGCTGCTGGGGTGCAGCACTGTCTGTGGTGCCAGGAGAGGCAGAAAGCCTGCCTTAGTATCCTCACTGCACTGCTGACCTCCTGCCCCAGCCATGACCCCTCCCAAACCCAGAGCCCCCAAAACTCTCATCCTCAGCCCCACACCAGAGCCCACACTCTCGTCAAATTATGTTGGGTCACAGGCATCAACAATTTTCTTCAACTGAGTCATTAGAAAGAGAGTTTGAAAACCACTATCTACGTCATCCCTGACAGACGTTTAGCTAATCTGCTCTTAAATATATCCAATGCTGGAGATTCCATAACCTCCATAGGCAATGTATTCTGATGAAGTGGGTCTTTGCCCATGAAAGCTTATGCTTCAATACATCTGTTAGCCTATAAGGTGCCACAGGACTCCTTGTCAATTTAGCATTGTGGTTCTTTACCTATATAACGAGGATGGTAGAAGCCTGGGTGTAGATGCAGTTATACTGGTATAATTGTGCTTATGCTATTACAGATTATACCAATTCTCACAGTCTGCATAAATTATATTGGTATAATCAGTTTTATCCCAATATACAAGTGTTCACTTTAGAGGATTTTGCTGATATAGCTATACTGGTATAACTATACCAGAAACCCCCTCCTAGTTTAGAAAAGACCTTAGTGAGGTATTACTGGGACTATATGTATTACATATGTACACATACTTACTATGGGCCAGGTTGTGATCTTTATTCCCATTAGTCCACAAATGAACTCTTAGGTTTCAAGGGGACTATGCATGGTGTAAATTACTAGTAAGCGAGAGGAAGGTTGTCTCGGACTGGCTCTGATTTGCAAAATACAGACATTCACCATAGGTCTGCCGGGTTCCCGTTCTCATAGTGCAAGAACAAGGAGACAAGTCCCTGAAATTGAAAGGGAGCAAATTTAAAAGTGATGCACAAAGACAGCATTAACCTTGGGATTTCATTGCCACCATTTTCATTTACATTTTTTTTAATGTACTGGAACTGGAAGGGACCTTGAGAGGTCATCAAATCCTGTCAAGCAGCATAGACCATTCCTGACAAATATCTGACTAACCTGCTCTTCAATATTTCCAATGCTGGAGCTTCCACAAACTCCCTAGGCAATTTATTCCAGTGTTTAACCACCCTGACAGGAAGTTTTTCCTAATGTCCAACCTAAACCTCCCTTGCAACAATTTAAGCCCATTGTTTTTTGCCCTATCATCAGACGTTAATGAGAATAATTTTTCTCCCTCCTCCTTGTAGCACCCTTTTTAGGTACTTGAAAGCTGTTATGTCCCCTCTCAGTCTTCTCATTTCCAAACCAAACAAACCCAATTCTTAAATAAACAAAGACCTTATGGAAATCAAGAGTTCAGAAGGATTCAGGAGAGAAAAAAGGGACTGAACTATGACATGAATAATGACCTCATCTGGAATTATAACCCTACATATTCTTTTAAAAGTGTGCATTTAGCTTCCTGCTTCACAGCTTCAATCGAACTCTAATCAATAAGGGTTAGGAAGAAATTCTTCCTGTGGGCAGGTTATCACATAACTGCCTTATATAGTATTTACTGTACCTTCTATGGAAAGTAGGACAAATTACAAAGGATGAATATAGGCAAACAGCACAGGAATGCAGGGGTAAGATTAGAAAGGCAAAGGCACAGAATGAGCTCAAACTAGCTACAGGAATAAAGGGAAACAAGAAGACGTTTTATAAATACATTAGAAGCAAGAGGAAGACCAAGGAGAGGGTAGGCCCACTGGTCAGTGAAGAGGGAGAAACAGTAACAGGAAACTTGGAAATGGCAGAGATGCTCAATGACTTCTTTGTTTCGGTCTTTACCGAGAAGTCTGTAGGAATGCCTAACATAGTGAATGCTAGTGGAAAGGGGGTAATTTTAGAAGGTAAAATAAAAAAAGAACAAGTTAAAAATCACCTAGAAAAGTTAGATGCCTGCAAGTCACCAGAGCCTGATGAAATGCATCGTAGAATACTCAAGGAGCTGATAGAGGAGGTATCTGAGTCTCTAGCTATCATCTTTGGAAAATCATGGGAGACAGGAGAGATTCCAGAGGACTGGAAAAGGGCAAATATAGTCCCCATTTATAAAAAGGGAAATAAGAACAACTCAGGAAACTACAGACCCGTTAGTTTAACTTCTGTGCCAGGGAAGATAATGGAGCAAGTAATTAAGGAAATCATCTGTAAACACTTGGAAAGTGGCAAGGTGATCCAGCCAGCATGGATTTGTAAAGAATAAATCATGTCAAACCAATCTGATAGCTTTCGTTAATAGGATAACGAGTCTTGTGGATAAGGGAGAAGCAGTGGATGTGGTATACCTAGACTTTAGTAAGGCGTTTGATACGGTCTTGCATGATATTCTTATCAATAAACTAGGTAAATACAACTTAGATGGGGCTACTATAAGGTGGGTGCATAACTGGCTGGATAACCGTACTCAGAGAGTAGTTATTAATGGTTCACAATCCTGCTGGAAAGGCATAACAAGTGGGGTTCCGCAGGGGTCTGTTTTGGGACCGGCTCTGTTCAATATCTTCATCAACGATTTAGATATGGGTATAGAAAGTATGCTTATTAAGTTCGCAGATGATACCAAGCTGGGAGGGGTTGCGACTAATCTGGAGGATAGGGTCATAATTCAAAATGACCTGGACAAATTGGAGAAATGGTCTGAGATAAATAGGATGAAGTTTAATAAAGACAAATGCAAAGTGCTCCACTTAGGAAGGAACAATCAGTTTCACACATACAGAATGGGAAGAGACGGTCTGGGAAGGAGTACGGCAGAAAGGGATCTAGGGGTTATAGTGGACCACAAGTTAAATATGAGTCAGCAGCGTGATGCCGTTGCAAAGAAAGCAAACATGATTCTGGGATTTATTAACAGGTGTGTTGTGAGCAAGACACGAGAAGTCATTCTTCCGCTCTACTCTGCGCTGGTTAGGCCTCAATTGGAGTATTGTGTCCTGTTCTGGGCACCACATTTCAAGAAAGATGTGGAAAAATTGGAGAGGGTCCAGAGAAGAGCAACAAGAATGATTAAAGGTCTAAAGAACATGACCTATGAGGGAAGGCTGAAGGAATTGGGTTTGTTTAGTTTAGAAAAGAGAAGATTGAGGGGGGGACAGGATTTCAGGTATCTAAAAGGGTGTCATAAGGGGGAGGGAGAAAACTTGTTCATTTTGGCCTCTGAGGATAGAACAAGAAGCAATGGGCTTAAACTGCAGCAAGGGAGGTTTAGGTTGGACATTAGGAAAAAGTTCCTAACTGTCAGGGTGGTCAAACACTGGAATAAATTGTCCAGGGAGGTTGTGAAATCCCCATCTCTGGAGATATTTAAGAGTAGGTTAGATAAATGTCTATCAGGGGTGGTCTAGACAGTATTTGGTCCTGCCATGAGGGCAGAGGACTGGACTCGATGACCTCTCGAGGTCCCTTCCAGTCCTCGTATTCTATGATTCTCTTAAGTAGTTAGGACAATGGCAGGATACAGAACTAGAATGATCACTAATTGGATCTGATATGGCAATTCCTGTGTTTACTAGGGCAAAATTACTGAAGTTTTACTCTGTGTTCTTTGAATTCTGTGGTTCCATTTCCTTACCCTCTATTTTGAATGTCTTTGTTTTATTGATGTAGTCAGCCTTGTTATTGCAGACAATGTCTCTGCTGTAATCCTTGTCAGCATTCATCTCTTCATTCCACTCCAAATAGCCTCTTCCCACGAGCTCTACCTTCACTATGGGGTCGATCAAAGAGTTGTTAAGATTCAGAATCACTTGGCCATCTATGCCAGAGCCTGCCAAATACACCTTATCTTCAGGCAGCACCAGGTTAATTGATTTTACCACCGACATCAGGGAAGAACAGAAGCCTGCTGTTATCTGTGCTTCCCAAGGATCTGTGTATGTCTGTGATGTCAAAGGTTTGTGACATCACTGCACTTACAGAGAGTGCAGAGCCTGTTTGGCTTTGACAGCAGCAGCAGGTGCCCTACCACTTTCAGGATTTGCCCCAGTTATGAAGTTTTTGAGGCCCTTATTATTTAGTCCTTGTTGATAATGTGTAGAGGCCCCAACTGTGAGCAGTGCCCTGTTGTGCTGGGGTCAAATATACATTCTAAATAGACAAGACAAACAAAGACTGGGGGAGGATAGAGAATGGAACCCCAGCGTTGTGATTCTTAAGACTCCTTTGGGGATTTGATTATTCCTTTCAAAGTGGAGACACTTCAGGGAGACAGTTTGAGGACTCATGGCCATCAAAGAAGGATACTGCTCATCTTTGCCAAGTTTCCTTGGAGCTTGCATTCATTACTCTTTGTCAGAAGGTGTCTTCGGAGGCGTCGCGAGGAATCTGTCTGCTGAGAGTTGTTTGTTCTGCCACAGTTGCAGGCTGAGTCATGCTCCATATTTCTCCTGCTTTCTATTTGCCCCATGGGAAGAGTTGGGCCTTTGCCTACAGACCAACTTTTCTTTCAGGCACTGACTCTGATTCAGGGAAGCAATGAAGTCCATGCTTCAGGTTTGGTACCTCTTTAATTCCTTTGATGTCTCGATTTCCTTTGCTAAACTGTTCTCCTGGGAGGTAAGCTGAGGGAAAAAGTATACCCTTGAGCACAATGAAATTAAATGGGTGCGCTTCAGAGGTGTCTCTATAGATGGGAAGAACAGAGCCTTCTCTAAACCTTTTTTACTCCATACCCTTCCCCTTTTGTGGAAATATGTGTGTGTCTAGATTACAGAGTTTTGTCGACAAAAGTGGACTTTTGTCGACAAAACTATACCTGCGTCTACACTACCGCTGAGTTCTGTCGACATAACGTCGACAGAACTCAGCAGTTTTGTCGACGCTGGTAAACCTCATTTTACGAGGCATAACGCCTTTTGTCGACAGAGTTCTGTTGACAGAAGGTGTTATTGCATGTAGGATTGTGTCTAGACTACAGGGTTTTGTCGACAAAGCAGCTTGCTTTGTCTACAGAACTGAATGTAGTCTAGACGCTCTATATCGACAGAAGTTTTGTCGACAGTATCTGTCGACAAAACTTCTATCGACAAAACCCTGTAGTCTAGACGTACTTATGTGTCCAGCAACTCCTTCCTCACTAACCCCTTGCCTGAAATCTCCTGTGGTATGTGAAGGAAGATGAGAGTTCTGCTTGCTGGAGGCAGCAGCTCTGACCGCCTATCTTTGCTGAGGAGCCCAGAAATGGGGAAGAGGACTCAAGTGTTTTCCCCAGTAGGGATAGATCTCTAGCTTAGAGGTGACAAGCCAGCATTTGTTACCACAAGTACAGCACAAGCCAGGGGGATGGAGCTCAAACTTGAATGGATGGGAGGTGGTTGCTCAATATGCGTTACCTCAGCTGACCCTTCTGAAAGTGAAGGAGACTCCCCTTCTATCTTGTGGGTTATTTCCTAGACACATCCTACACTGGGCTGTTAAACTTCATCCCTGTTCCACCCCAGAGGAGGCAGCATTTTCCTAGGGAGTGGTTTGGCTGAGAGGGGCAGGATTTTGGGGAGGGGGGAGGCTTTGTACCCATTTTACTCCTGGAAAGAGCTGACCTCTCCCCAAGGCAGGTTGGAATTAGCCCAAACAACCAGGGCTATTCTCATTTTCTGGGCAAGGATGGGGACAAAGCCCCAGGCACTAGGCAGCAGCCCCCCTTATATCCAGGGGTCAGCCCATCGCTGGTGGCAGAAACTGCGATCCCCGCGCCGCGCTCAGCATCTCGGTACCCATTTTACTCCTGGAAAGAGCTGACCTCTCCCCAAGGCAGGTTGGAATTAGCCCAAACAACCAGGGCTATTCTCATTTTCTGGGCAAGGATGGGGACAAAGCCCCAGGCACTAGGCAGCAGCCCCCCTTATATCCAGGGGTCAGCCCATCGCTGGTGGCAGAAACTGCGATCCCCGCGCCGCGCTCAGCATCTCGCCGGGAGGGGGGGGGATCATGCCGGACCCATAGAGCGTCTTGGGCTCCTCCCCGTCTTCCTCATTCCCGCCACCAGCGTCCAATCGGCGAGAACCCGCCCCCCACCCGGC